TCCTGGGACCTCATATCTCTAAGGACTGGGGGAAGACTTATGTACTCATCTTTCTTGCTCTGAGGAAGAGGAAGAAAGAAGTATTCTACTAAATATGTATTCTACGGCAAGAGGAAGTATTCTACTAAACATGTGAGACTTGGGAACAATAAAGGTGGGAGATAATATGAAAATACAAAGGGGAATGTGAGAAGCAAAATGGGGGGGGTAGATATCAAAAGTGTGAGGAGGACCAGAGACTGATTCAGAAACGGAGTGATTCTCAGTTCAGTTTAGAATACGATTTTCACCAAAATACCCTTATTGTTCATGTTCATGCTCATAGCATCCATGTTAGACTCAGATTTTTCAGACAGACAGGGCTTACCTAAGGTGCCTTAGACTCTCGTGGCAGGTGGTCTTTGTCCATGGATGTGTTGTTTACTTATAGTGAAGAACTATTTTCAGATAACAGAGAAATAATTTCAGAATAAGATTGAATTAGTCCCTTTAATCCAAAGTGTTAGAAATATGACTTTAATTACTGCTCAGAAGTCTCAACCCCACTTTGTAAGTCCTTTAGAATTTCAAGTTTATAAACTAACTCCACAAACACCATCCTCCTCTTCTGGGGAATGGTGTGAGGCCTCACATAACCATTTAGATGAGTTTGAAGTTACGGGATCAGGAATAATAGGATTTGGACTGCCAAAATAAAGCAGTGCTACAATGTAAGGGGTTGTGAAATAATAGGAAGACCAGATTCTAGTGAGTAGATGGAATGTAGTGAATGCATATGTTACGGTAGCTTCAGAATACTAATGTGGCTGCTCAGATTCATAGCTCACTGAAGTCCCAAGGCTTTCATTCCTTCTTTTTCTCGGTGAAATTTCCATCTACTCTGTACTCTCTCCTTTCTCTCTTTTTGTTTTTTCAAAATTGGCACTGAATTTTATGAAAGCACACAGCTAGGGCCCTCATAAAAATGAGAGGAATTTTACGGTAGAAAAAAAGATTAAGAACCAAATCATATCTCTGGCAATGCTGGGTCTTCACTTGGTGAAGTGGAAATGAAACTGATTTAATTCAATTCTCACCAACCAGACACTTTTATTAAATCTCCATTTATGGTGTTTTCCTGTATGAGTCTCTTTATTTCTTCTGTCCTCCATTATACATCAAAGAATTATTGTTGTTATTGTTTTTGTTGTCTTCATTGTTGTTGTCATCGACATTGTCATCATCATCATCATTTTGTGGTCACTATGTATGAGGATGTATTATAAGTATCTTATCCAAAATAACTCCATTAATCCTTAGCACAGTCCTGTCAAATTAGTATGGTCTCCAGTTTACAGAGGAGACAACTTTGATGCAAGATAGAAGAAATTATTTTTCCACAATTAAAAAGTGAGCAAGCACCAGAATC